GGGAGGGAATTATGGCACTATTTTTTTTTTACAGCAGCGGTCAGAAAGGAGCTCCAGATGCTGCAAAAAAAAGGAGGGGAGGGGGTAGGGAATTGGGAACCCCCCAGCAAAGGATACAATCGCTTTTCCTTGCTGGTTAACAGGAAGCAGATCAAAGCAGGGGTGGTTTTGGAGGGGGCTTTTATACTGCTCTCATCTGGTTCCCTTCAACATTGGAGATCACAGCTTTATATAAGTTCTAATAAGCATGAAAGAGTTGGAGTACTGCTCATCTCTGGGGTATGTTTTCTCTCTCTCCCTTTTTTCCTTCTCTCTCTCTCTCTTTCTGTGTCTTCCTTCCTCCTTTCTCTCTCTGTGTGTCTTTCTTCTTTCCTTCCTTTCTTCCTTCTCTCTTTCTTCCTCCCTTTTTCTTTCTATCTTTCTTGCTTCCTTCCTTTCTTCTCGCTTTCTGTGTCTTTCTTCCTTCCCTTCCTTCTTTCCTTCTCTCTTGCTCTGTCTTTCTTCCTTCTGGCTTCTGGCTTTCTCTCCCTCTCTCCTCCTTCCTTTTCTCTGTCTTTCTTCCTTCTCTCTCTCTCTCTTTCTGTGTCTTCCTTCTTTCTTTCTGTATGTGTCTTTCTTCTTTCCTTCCTTTCTTTCTTCCTCCCTTTTTCTTTCCCTCTCTTTCTTGCTTCCTTTCTTTCTTCTCTTTCTGTGTCTTCCTTCCTTCTCTCTCTCTCTCTGTGTCTTTCTCCTTTGCTTCCTTTCTTCCTTCTCTAACTTCCTCCCTTTTTCTTTCTGTCTCTCTTTCTGTCTTTCTTCTTCCTTCTTTCCTTCTCTCTTGCTCTGTCTTTCTTCCTTCTGGCTTCTGGCTTTCTCTCCCTCTCTCCTCCTTCCTTTTCTCTGTCTTCCTTCCTTCTCTCTCTCTCTCTTTCTGTGTATTTCTTCCTTCCTTCTCTGTCTTCCTTCCTTCTCTCTCTATTCCTTTCTTCTTCCTCTCTCTCTTTCTGTGTTTCTTTCTTCCTTTCTTTCTATCTCCTCTCTCTCTGTTTTTCTTTCTTCCTTTCTTCCTTTCATCTCCCTCCTCCTCCCTCCCTCCTCCCCCTCTCTCCCCCTGCTCTCTTGACTTTCCAGTCTCTGTTGACTTTTGGCAATTGCCTGGACTACTCCCTGCAATTATTTTGGCAAGATTTCAGAAGTGCCACTGACTCCTTCCTAGACTGAGAAAAGATAATTACCTTTCATGCCTAAGGCAGGACTAGAACTCACAGTCTCCTGGCGACTGGCCCAAAGTTACCCTGATGGCTTTCATGCCTAAGGCAGGACTGGAACTCACCGTCTCCCGGTGATTGGGCCGAAGTCACCCTGCTGGCTGTGTGTTTAAGGTGGCACTAGAACTCACGGTTTCCCAGTTTCTAGTCTGGCACCTCAACCAAAGTGGCAGCATCATATTGCCCAAAGATTTTCTGTGCTGGATAAGACAGAGATATTGACTAGCCACCCTGTGAATGGCCTGGAAGAAAATTCTAAAAGATCCAAGCAGCTTCCACTTCATAAATACTTTTCCCAGGCAAAGAGAATTCAATTCCTCTTCACCTCTGGCAAAGGGCTATTTACAGGTTTTCCATGTTCACCTATGGCAAATATTGAACCAAGTGTGTTTCCTTGGCCCTTCATTAACCAGCCAAGCATTAACCAGCATGGATGCTCTCTTCATTTTACTGCCTAACTGGACCTATGCAAATGGATATGGGGTCACCCAGCATGTTCACTGCCACTCTGATCTCCTTCATGCGTAAGTAGAGAAGCAAGGAAGTCAACCTGGGAAGCTAACAGAACCATCCCAAGACATTTGTTTCCAATATGATATATATATACTGTATTTTCAAATCTTGGCATGAAAATTTTTGCCTCTGCCACCTCTGGAAGGCAGAAGGAGCCTGTTTGGTCCTGCTTCCAATCTGTTGTGGCCCACCAGCGGAGCTGGCAGCAGATTCGGACAGTGAGGAGGTTGGGGAGGAACATGAGCCAGTCCTGGAGTCTGAGGAAGGCTAGGATGAGGGCTCTGTGTTGGAGGCAGAAATGTGGCCAGGGCCGTCTGACAGTTATCAGCTGCCTTCAGAGTCAGACATCAGTGAGGCAGAAGAACAGCTGGAGCCTGTTCCCAGTGTAGGCATGTGCAGAGTTGCCAGACAAAGGGAACAGCTAAGGAACAGGGGTCGACTTGGGAGTAAGGCCACAGGTGTATGATGAATGGCCCCTCCCAGAGGAAATAAAAGAAGAGTGAAGGGGGAGTGGAGTTTGCAGGAGATCATTAGTTCGCTTCATTGGTTCATGACTCTCCGAGGCTCCTTGCCAAGTTTTGCAGAGATCGGCCTGTCAGCTCTCCAAGCCAGATAAGGTCTGTGACTGTAAATCCTCCCTCAAAGGACTTTGCTGGATGCGAAGGAGCAGAATCCACAGTCAATTAATAAAAGGGGTTTTTGTCGGGACCAGGAGTTTGCTTCATGCTCTTGGGAAGCCTCGGTCAGAACACAATCATAACTTAAAGAGCCAAAGATACAATTCCAACTTCAGCTCTGCAGACGCTGATACTACACCTATCAAATGGGTTTAGGGTATTATGGGAGATGGATAGGAGCCAGCTCAAGTCAAGAGTCCCCCTGATAGAAGAATTAAAACGCTCTCGCTAAACAGTAACATTAACAAAAAGTCCGTCCTGCTAAAAGCAAGCCAAGTGAGAGACTGGGAGCTATGAAATCATGAAGGAGAGGCCCATCAAAAGACCATTCTGCACACAACATATAGCTGGAATCTCCAGTGGGTAGAGCCACAGAGGGATGACTTCACACTCAGCTTCCCGGAACCATCTGGAAGCTATTCTCAGAAGCAGATGGATGATGGATGGCAAAGGCTTGTCATCAGAAGCACTCTCAAAAAGACAATGGAATTTGCCCCCATAAGCACCTTTCACAGCTAATATCAATATTCTCTCCTCTACCTGGCCTTCCCTTTTTCCACCAGACAGAGGAGGACAAAGCCAGGGAGGAAAAAAACTCCCAATAAATAACCCTAATATCACAACTTCTGCCAGTGTAGCAACCGTAAAGACCCAGGGTTTGGGGTTTTTTTAAAAGGAAAAAACTGGGGTTTCCCCCCCCCCAGCTTTTTTTCCTCTTGTCAATGTGCTTATTCTCACAATTTTATTTTATTTTCTTAGGAAAAAAAACGAGCCTTTTTGCAAACAGCTCTCCAAGATCAAATCCGCTAAGGAAAACCAGACTTTTTTAAAAAAATAAAATAAAATAAAAAGGTTAATAGCCTGCCGAGACCAATAGAGAAGGAATGCAGAAGTGCAAATTCTATTTTGGTTCCAGAAAAAAAGAGAGGCTTCCCTCCCTTGGAGCAGATGGCTTCTCTTTCGGGCTTGTGCAAAGAAAAATCAGCCCAGCTTCTCCTGCCACTGGCACCAGCCCACTCATTTTGCCAGCATGGATTCCTGGTCACCTAGGACTACCCGAGCAAGGTTCGGTTTTGGACGAGTTCTTTAGACAAGCCTCGTGCCAAGGGGGGGAAAGAATAGCAATAGCAGACATATATACCGCTTCATAGGGCTTTCAGCCCTCTCAGAGTCAGCATATTGCCCCCAACAACAATCCGGGTCCTCATTTCACCCACCTCGGAAGGATGGAAGGCTGAGTCAACCTTGAGCCGGTGAG